CATAAGTTCAAAGTGGAGGCAGAAAGTGATTCACGTCGTGTCGCGACGTTAAATCAAGTGCTTGTTGGGAGGCAACCCAGCTTTATTGCTTTCTTTTTTTTTTATTTTTTTTAATTGTATTATTTTTGTAGTGTCAATTTTTTTTATTTATTTTAGGAGCATGGAAAGCAAAGGTATTGGAAGGATGCAACAGCAAATCAAATGGTTGGAACTAAGTGTGAGGTACCCGCACGAAGGACCAAGCTTGGGAGAAGTCTGAGTACCCCATGAACTGCTAGTGCTTCGGCCTTTGGCCTACCAGGGAGTTTCTTTTACCTTCTTGTATGTATGGGTGTTCATTGGGGACAATGCACAATTTTAAGTGTGGGGTGAGGAGATTGTCTGGCTGACTTTTTATGCTACTTTAGCTGTGTTCATTTAATTAAATAATTTTTTTTAAAAGATTGGACTTTTCCTGATGACGGATCTTCTAGACAGTTTTCTTGAGGGAAGTAAGTCTAAAGAAAATACCAAAAAGATTTTTTGTTTTGTTTTAGGTAGTGTAGTAACTCCCCCTTGGTTTTTCTTTGGGCCACGGTTCTTTTCCAAGGGTTTTATTTGAACCGGGTGTAGTTAGTTGTTTTTAAGGAATAAGAGCCATTGGGTTGTGTTTTGAATTGAAGCAATATCTCTTGACTTTGTTATGCCTTGAGAATAGTGAGTACTTTGGTTGTGACGCTTAGGCTCAGTTTTTGACTCTTGTATAAGTACCTTAAATTGTATGATTTTAAATTTGCTTAACTGCTCTGACTAGGGTGTCTTGATGAATCCAATCCTGAGTGAGTTATGTGCCATGTGTGTGTAAGGTTTTGTGTTATTTTGTGCATTGCATTTGATGCCTAGAACTTGTCCCGTGTGTTTGCAAAGCGAAATAGTATTGTTGTTCAGTCTTGGAAGTGATATAGGCGTTTTCTTGTTGAGCCAGGTATGTATATTTTACCCACCTAATTGTTATGTATCGTAGTTAACCTCGTTGAGCTTATAATCCTTTTTCTTTGGCAACCACATTACAAGCCTTACCCATTTGTTTGAATTAACCGTCTATTTAAACCTTTTCACCTCTCATGAGCACTTGAATTGTTATGAACTTTGTAAAAGTTAAATGTGGGGTGGTTGGTTTGGCTTTTGAGTGGAACTAATTGAATAATGAGAAAGGTGCACTGTTTTGAAAAAGGAAGAGCCACTTGAATTGAAAAAAAAAATATAGTTGGATTGTTGTAAAAAAAAAAAAAATTTCCTTGATAAGTGACGGTTCTTGACGTAAGTGTGCTTAAAGAAGAATGAGGTAATTTACATTGATGTGAAGGTGGAGTTTGGTTTGACATAAGTATGGGGTTTGAATGTTAAAGTATATATATTAAAGTGCTTAGGGAGGTGTAGTCACTCTTATATCTAAATGTATCCTACCCGTCCCGTAGCCTACATTACAACCAAATAAAGTCCTAATTGATCCTAGGTTGAATGAGCTTGATTAGTGGAGTAGTACACTACGGGCAAGCTTATGGTGCATCTTTTGTGGCATATGAATGTTATTTCTGAGAGTGAGTGAACTCTTTCTATCTTGAGTTCCTAAGTGGTATTAAATTTTATTGTGTGGAAATATTCTCTTGTGTTGTGTGAGGGCACTTAATTCATGAAGGAAAGGTAAAGTCAGTGAACTCTATGTTAGAGTAAGTAGGTGAGTTGTGAATAATGTGTGGTACTTGTGAGTCAAATCTTGAGGTGAAGATGTTACGCTTTTGTGCTTAGTCTATTTTAAATACTCTTGGTGTGATGAGTTAGGAGAATTGTTTAAAAATGTCGTGTCTATAAAAAAAAAGTGTAGTTTGATTGCTCGAGGACGAGAAATGGTTTAAGTGTGGGGTGTTGATGATAGGCTATAATTGCATATTTTAGTCGCTTATTACACTCGAATTTACTGCACTTTAATTGAGTTTGCGCTTTAATCGCTAGTGTTTTGCACTAATTGTGTGTTTTATGCCTTGTAGGTGTGATTCCGAGCTATATAGATGTTATGGAATGAATTTAAGTGATTTGAAGCTTTGAAGTCTGAGTAAAAGCTCAAGGAATTAAGCCGGGATCGTGTTCGGGGGTCAAATTTGATAGTTGAGAACAAACGAAGACTCGATGAGGCATATTGCGCACTGTCTAGTAAATTGGACATAACCTTTTGCTCAGAACTCCATTTGGGCTCCACAATATATGGTTGGAAAGCTAACTCAAAGGGCTACAACTTTCATGTTTTACGTTTTTCCAAACTCCAAACGAAACAGGATGAAAAACCGCGGTTCCACCGCGACCACGGCAGAATCGCGGTAGAAGATGGTCGCGGACAACTGAAGAATCAGAGGGCATGTTTGGCCGCGGTTCCACCGCGACCGCGGCAAAACCGCGGCAGGAGGCGGAAATTTCAGGGACTTATGTGCAAAACACGGGATTTTAAGTCCTAAACCCTATATTAAACAAAGGAGGCCGGCCAAGAACAAGAAGGGGACATATTTTGGACACAAATTAGACCTAAGGAGGCGGAGAAACACTACTTTAGGGTTAGACAACACCCTTGGAGGCAAGAACACATTGGGAGCAAGGCGGAGATTTCTTCTACGAGTTTTTCCTTCCTCTTCCTATTTTTCATTGTTGGTTATGACTTTTAGTATTGTAGTTTTACATACTATTATGAATAGCTAATTTGTTATCTAGAGTTTTGATAGAACCTTTTGTAGGATAAATTCTTGTTATGTTTTTATATAATTGAGCCATAGCTTTTCTCTATTTGTTCAACTACGTTTATATTGTGGTTGGTTGAAGAGCTCTCAATTAGCTGTGCCTATTTAGTATGCATAACGCGGGAGAGAGTGCATATTTAGGTAATTGTTGAACAACACCACTCCCAAAGTATATGAGGGATTAATAACCGAGGGTTTAAAGGCGGGATTAGGGATAACGAAGCTTTGGGTGCGATCTGAAGTGAGCTGTATTAAAAGCCAGCTAGCGTAGCTCGGGAGAGTGCGTCTAGTAAATTGTCGTAATTACTCGGGAGAGATTTACGGTAATAAGAGTGCTCATGATCGGTAGAGAATACTTAGGCGAAATTATAGAAGACATAGCGGGAAGGATTCCGAAAATTGGGGAAATCATAACTCTAGACCTCCTTAATCTTTTCTCTAACCCTCAGTATCGTTAGTTGTTAATTTACTATTTTAATTTGTTAGTTAATTAGTTAAACAGAAGAATCTTAATATCTATAAGTTAGGAATTGTTCAAGCTTGTCTTCTTGGTGATAGTGAACAGCTGTAGCTAAACCTTAATTCTCTATGGGATTCGACTCCGGACTTGTAAACCGGATTATATTTGCAACGACCGCATTATCCTTTTTATAAGGCATAGTTGGGCGTGATCAAACACATAATATCAAATGCTCGAATATAGTAAGTACTACCATTTTAGTTAGACACTTTTGTTTTCTCTCTCCCTGTTTAACTTCCAAAAATAGAACATAGTAAAAACTACGTGAAGATTTATTTATTGTTTAAATGAAAAATAACGCTGCATATATTCGGTGGCACACTGCAAGGAACTCAATTACCGGAAAATTTTATGAGACAATTAGCCTGTTTATGTCATGGTAGGTAGAAATTAAAATTACATGGTACTTGTATTGGTGGGAAAAAACATATACATAGAGGTGCCAATGATTCTTTGAAAACCGACACCGAACCGAACCTTATTTTTAGTTTTTTCTTAATATAATTAGGTTTTGATGTAAATTTATAATATTACCGAATAATTATGGTAATTTTTATATTATGTTTAAAATATTAAAACGCTAACATTCGTGACTTTGGGCTTCAAGAGGAAAATGGGGTAACTGCAGATATACCCGAATTTTACGCCACCATTAAAGTTATACTCATAATATACAAAAATTTGCATAGAAATAGCGTGGGATAACAACTTTTTAATATGGTATTTAGTTTTTATCTAGTATTTTTAATGCTGAGCAAAAATAGCTACTACTCTATTAGAATTAATACGAAAAAATATTTTTACCCTTTCTTCATGAGTGCTGTGTAAATATTAAGGACATGGTGTCCTTAACATTACATGAAGTTAAGGACGCTATGTCCTTAACATTTACAGTGCACATATGAAGTTAAGGACATGATGTCCTAAAGTTTAACAACGGAAGGTGCAAATACAGGACACTTTGTCCTTAATATTTACACAACATTCATGAAGTTAAGGACGCCATGTCCTTAATATTTACACAACACCCATGTCTAGCACAGGGGTATTTTCGTCCCGACAGGTAAAAATTTATTAAGCATTGGCGAAACAGTAAATACATTTTAAACAGTGGCTAAAAAGTAAAGACAACTCTAATTAGTGGCTAACTGTGCACTTCGAGTTGCAAACTTTAGACATAAAAACGGGTTTAAAGTTAGCGTATCCAAAGCCTAACTTTGATAAAATTTCTGAAGTTTGCATATTATTTTTGACTAAAGTTTTGGTTAGAAAGTACACATTTATGTCTGAAGTTAAGCTTGTCTAACTTCAGACATCATATGAGCAAAACAAAGAAAGAAAGATTGTGATAAGAAAAAACCTTATCACGAATCCACCACCAGCAATACGAAGCTGTGCGACAAATTCCTTTTGCGTCAAATCAATATGGTCCAGCGGAGATGCAACTTCACCATTGTTGTAATTCCAAATTTAACAAACCCTGGACATATTTGGAATTTGGAAAACCATGGAAAACACACAAAAAAAGGTTCTCATGATGCTACAGGTTATCTTTTCATGTTTGTGTTTTGAACTGCAAATTTCCGATTAGCACTCCGTTATCGTTCTAATACAACTATATTTGTTTTTGCTGAAGAGTGTGTTGGGAGTTTCAAGTAAGATTTTGAGCCATAGATTGTGCCCTGATTAACTTTTATATAAACCAATGCAACAGATAAAAAAAAAATTCTGCAGATTGCTAAATGGCACATTTGGTCAAGGTTACAGCAATATGTTACATAGGTTCCATAAACAGCTCAATTTTACCATGTTCCTCTTCCTGAAGATAGTATAAGATTACAGAATTGTGATATAAGGGTCTCAGCTGACAGCTACAAACTAAAATATATTGAAAAAATGCTGTCGCCTAATCCTCTCGAACGATTCTTCTCATGTCTTCGTTTTCTTTCGTCAAAAGATCAACACGCGATTGAAGAAGGTTGATCATGGCTTGGGCTCTCATCACTTCAATCTTCAGTGTCTCCCTCTCCATAGAGACATTAAGGATCCCATTCTCTAAATTACTAATAAACTTCAAGTAGCCTGGAGGCACGGATTTTTCAAGATTGGAGGAATCGAAAGTAGGGGGATTGGACGGCTGGCCTTCCTTAGTTTCAGTAGACTCTAACAAGGGGAATCCTAAGAGAGTAGGGCAGCAATTTGTTTTCGTCATCATCGTAGTTGGTGGATCCTGGCTAGTAATAGTTGAATCTTCAGAACCATTTGCACGGCTGGAGCTTGGATCAGCATGCTTGGGTCTCTTACTTTGGCTTAAAGAGAGAAGTTCAGCATCTTCTGAGCTCTCCCTCTTGCAAACAAATGGAAGACTTTGGGGTTCAATCAGGTTTTCGATATAGCGAGGAGCCTTGCGTAGAGCATCCTGTTGTCAAAAGTTAACAGATAGTGGCGAGCAAAGTAAATCTCAAACTGGCAAAAGTTAAGCACACCCAGTGTTTATCGAATGAGAAATGCTCAAAACTATACTGGACATATAAACCTCAAATTTATAAATGTTCACATGCTAATGGATGTGAAGCAGCCCCCAAAACTAAAAGGAAGAAAAGGGCTTGAAGTTTTGCAGCTAAATACATAAACTTCTTTTTACTTGTAAAAGACTGTCAAGATGAAATCCCAATAAAGAGAAAGTAAAATTGTGAGAGCACTAGAGAATGATCAGATAAATTGCTCAAGCATAAATATGTATCACATTCTAGGAGAGAATTCGACATCAGCAATTTCTTCAAGAGCTTTTACTCTGTTACATAAAACTTTCACCATTTCAAGTTAGCTTGCCAGTTACTTCCGAGAATCATGAACAACACTATAACCAAGGAGTTTTCCCCCCTCTGATGCGTACTAAGACAGACCTATACATCTTGCTGAATAACAGTCCACTTTGCCAAAACTTCCGATCTAGGGGTGGTTTTGAGAACTTATTTCTTTAGCTTCACAACCGACAATGAAAGCAGCATTGCACCTACAATTCCTAGAATCTCACCGGATAAACTGGTGTCCAAGACAGCTGGAGATCCACTTTTATAACGCACACTATAGTTGAGATCCGAACTTGGTATCTTGGAGTAGTGATGGTTGTGGGGATGAAGCAGTTATTGAAAAAGGCATAAATTGCTTGTTGTGATGTCCAAATTCAATTAAAAGGCTAAAGGATGTAGCTTTTCAATGGGAATATAATGACGTGTCAACGTTACATGTGGTTTAAGAGGGAGGTAGGTAGAACAAGATGCTAAACTGTTAAGTGCACTAGCTAACCACCACATTTCAACAGTAATTATTTTTCATTTCTTTCAATTTTCCCAGAACAATTCTAATATATTACATAGATAGAGCAATACTAGGAGAAAGAAGAGCAACGACAAAATAGCAAAATTTTGCAATTTAGAGCATCATATCTACAAGTAAAGACATAGAGATTCATACTTTCCTGTTCTGTTCTCTTGATTCCTTATCGACATTGATGATAAAACGAGATTCTAAACCGTTATCTACAATTAACTGACAAATATAGCAAAAAGGTTGCAATACAAGGAGAAAACAGAGCAAAGACAAAATAGAAAAGAATCCAATTAAGAAAAGAGTAACGACAAAATAGAAAAGTTAAGAGTAACGACAAAATAGCAAAGTTTGCAGCTAAGAGCATTTTATATCTATGATGACAACATCGGCATTCATACTTTACTGTTCTGCTTTGTTCTCTTGATTCCTTATCGACATTGATGGTAAAACAAGATTCTAAACCGTTATCTACAACTAACAAATATAGCAAAAAGTTTGCAATACAAGGAGAAAGAAGAGCCAAGACAAAATTAGAAAAGAGTTTCCAATTAAGAAAAGAAGAGTAACGACAAAATAACAAAGTACGCAATTAATAGCATTATATCTACACCGACAAAATTGGTATTCATACTTTCCTGTGTTTGTTCTTCTGATCCTTATCAATAGCAACGGTAAAACAAGTGGAAATAGACATTCATTCATTTAAGTGCAAAGTTTCAGCAATCTAAAAGGGCCGTACAGAAAAGGAAACAGAACCTGGTCAGGGTCATTGCCCTCAACTCGTGTTTCATCACCATTTGCCACATCATCCTCTGCCTCTCCTCCAGGAATCATGGCTATATCATCATCCCATTCCTCCTCAACGAATGGTGCATATCTGTCACCATTTGGCGGTCCTAAACCACTTTTTTGAAAGATTCTACAAAGCACAAAGGAATCCTATATCCTCCCAAACCAACAGAAAGAGATTCTTTTAAGATTCAAAACTCAATATAGAAAGTGGCTAATTTCACAAAATAAGCTAGTTCACACCTGCACGATTCCAGCCTTCTCCAATTCTTCATCGGCAAGCCTGTACTCATGCATTACCCAATTTGTTCTCTGGCCGTCAGGAGCTCGACCACTATGGAAAACAAGTGTTTTCTTCATTCCAATGGTCTGAGACTTATGACGAACAAAACGATCCTTCCCAGTAGCTTTCCAGTAGCCTAGGCCAGTGGCTCGGTTAAGTCGAGAACCGTTACCATACTTCTTATCCACAGGGCTGAAAAAGTACCACTCTAGATCTCTGCTCTTCAGCGATGAATATTCTGCACCGCATCAATACAAGGACATTCATTAAAAAAATGGTTACCAAAAGAGAGGTGGACATAACACGACAAACTAATTATTAGCCAGTGACGTGGTTAATTGTGCAAAAGAGATTCAAAATCGGATCCCTTCGTCCGAAATCTACACAGTACAAATAGGGTAAAAAAATAAAATGCATTCACTCAGTAAGAAAATATGTATTTTTTCGAATCCCCTCATTAGAATTCCTGTCTCCGCATCTATACTAGCCCAACGAAATTCAGAAGAATGACTAATACAATAGCTCAACAACCAGAGGCGGAGCTAGGGGGCGCAAGGGTTCATCCATACCCCCTTCGTCCGAAAATTACACAGTATATAAAAGGTCAATTTTTTCAAATGTAAATATAGTAGATTGAATCACTTGACCCAACCAAATAGTTCTTCTCATGTTTTACTTCTTTATATTTTGAATCCCCTTAGAGAAAAATCCTGGCTCCGCCACTGCTGACAGCAAGAGATGTTATTCATATAGATGAGCAGCATTGCAATTTTCAATAAACCTGAGGAAATATCAGAAACACACTAATTTTCCCAATGAATAATTTAACCTGAAAGAGGAACTCAATCAAACCAAACCAACAAAAAAAAATTAAAAAGAAGTCACGAAATTCAAACAGATAAAAAAGCGTTATAAACAAAGAAATCATAACATAAAAGAAAACTGGACACAAAATAACGACATAAATCAACGAAAAAGGAATTGAATTCAACCTGCGAGCTCCCAAGGTTCAGATTTGTAAACATCAATTTCAGTAACAGCCTGAAACCTGAATGGTTTCCCGCATGCCTTTCGCCTCAGATAGTACCTAACTAATTCCTCGTCCGTCGGATGGAACCTAAACCCCGGCGCCAAAGACGTCGGTGCCGGCGCCGGAGCCGCCACCGTTACAGCCCCTGCCGCTGCCGCCACCACCAGTGACCCTTCTTGCTCCATTTCTTGCCCTCAAAATTAAAAAGAAAAAAAACTAGACACACCCAGAAAGCCAAGAATGTAAAAATGAGTTCTTTTTAGAATACCCAATACAGAAACAAATAGATAGATATTAGAATTGAGAAGATTGGAAGTGAAGTAAAGTGAAAATGGGAGAAATTGAGATAGCCTGTGGGTGAAGGAAAGGGAAGAGAGTAAAGACTTGTTTAACACGGAAATCGAAAATCTAAGAAAGATAAGCCATTCATGGGGGACAAAAATGACTTGTGGATATGTACTTAGGTGGCGTTTCCTGTCAAAAATAATCAACACCTTCAAATAATTTTTTTTTTTTTTTTGGTAGAAAATGTAAAATTTACTTTAAGGATATTAATTAAAATTTTAGTTATTTGGTATTCTACTAATCCGACTAATTTAAATTCGTGTTGAAGTAATTTTTTTTCATATTTGTAAAGAAATCTTAATCTATATACAAATAAAGTAAGTTATTTTCTAAAAATTAACTATAAAATATTCTAAAATATCCTAGAAATTATGTTATATAACAATATATAAGTTCAACGAATTTAGACATAATTTTAACATATGTGTAAATATTTTTCCTTTTTGTAAAGAAATCTTAGTCCATATTACATTTAAGGTGAGTAATTTCTGTATAATTAATTGCAAAATTGTATCCGGATCTTGTTTAGTTTCACCAAATTTCAATTTTATCGTAATTTTTTAAATAGATAAATATCTCGTTGAGATAACTTGAAAACAATTAAAGAATTTGAAACATATACTACTTTGAATATAGGGCGGAGTAGAATAATAAAAAATTCTGAAATAAGTAAGATGAATAATTAATACAAGTTTGAAAATATATTATTTAATGGAAATTAACGTCAGGATATCTTTGGTCATAGGACAACTATAAAAATCTCTTTAAAGCTAGATTTTTTGTACCTATCTTGACTGAAAATGACATTAATTTGCAAGTTTTTCTTTTCTTTTACGTCGTCTTTTTTCCTTTATATTATATTTCCTTACTTGGTGCATGGTTTGGATCACAAGTTGACCAAAATGAAAAAAGTACTAAATCCAAATTTATATTATACATTTTTTGAGGATAGGAATAAAATAAATGCAACCTAATGTGAGTAGTTAAAGAAGTGAGTGTGAATGAGGTATGAAATAAAGGGCAGCAATGCGTATTCAAAGTAAAGAAGTACAAGCAAAGCAATCTCTTATTGCCCGTTCCTTAAGAAACCTTTAATCCTTTTTTTTTTCATGACTTTTTTCTTTTTCTTTTTTGGCTCGCCACTCGTTAAAATATATGCAATCACATCTTTTTTTATAATTATTAATTATCTGATGAAAATGATAACTAGCTGACGCTATTCTAACATTGTAAAATCTTTACACTTCAACATATAAAACCTAAATGTATTTTTGAATTTTTCTATTTTTACAATCAATTGAAATTGATAAGAAATACAATTTTTCAATAAACTTGAAATAATCTTTTATTGACGAAATAGAATGTTCTTTTTTCATGTTAGATTACTACGTGAAGAAAAGATATGAAAATAAGATATGTGTATACGGTCGAAATCGTATGACTCCAATCTATAGGCTCGAGGGGTCTTCTTGAGCCCAAGTTCAGGCAAGGTTGAGTTCGAGCTCAAGGGACCAGATCCGAGCTCGAAGACAGAGTGCAATGCCCGAAGATTGAAGCATGATGTACACCGAGGCCGAGTATGCTCGACCCCGAAATAGTACCGTTATGGATTTATAACAGAATGAGCGGGATTCCTGCCACGTCCCCAAGATCATGGCGCAAATCCCGAAACAGAATTGTACGATTCCGTACTAGGTGGTTAGACAACTGTACCAAGAATATTCCTTACTGTAAATAGAAATATACCTTATTTAGGGTTCCCCTATTATATAAAGGGGACCCCAATCATTTATAACATTATCTCATCATTGGCAAGAATATACTATCCTACTTTTCTCTCTTACTGTTCATCAGAATTATCCTTTATATTTATTGTTCTTACTTTATTTCTCTTAGTTCATCTCGAGGTCACTAAGCTCGAGGTCACCACTGCTGAGTAACATTGGTTTGATTCACTTATTTCTTTCATTTCCACTTCACATTTCTTGAACATTGATTGGTATTGAATTTAATCACATATCTTTAAAACCACAAATCAAATGTTACTCGTATTTTCGAGGTAAACAGTTTGGCGCCCACCGTGGGGCTAAAGATAATAGTGATTATTTCTTTACTGATTCTCATTACACACGTTATTTTTACACTTTTTCTTGTCAAGATTTTCCAATTCTCAGGATTAAATATGTCAAACTCGCAAAATACACCTGTTTATGACAACGAAGGTCTTGGATTTCATGGGGAAAACAATGATGCAGGGGTCGGTGTACCACTAATAAACCCTGGGGAAGTGCCAAATCAGGAACCAGTTGACGTTAGTTCGCACATTGCTTTAAATGCAGATTTAGGCGCAGACCCCGGAGGGAGTGTACGCAGGGAAGCCCGATCTGGGGGCCAAGGAACACCAGGTATAGGAGATTGGGGAGTCAGCCTCCAAGTGATATTCGAGATGCTGCAAGCTCAGCAGATCGCCATCGCTCAACTTCAAAGTCAGCATAAAACTCCGAGTGTAGCTGAACCAGAAAACACTCGGTGTGCTGAACCAGCGGCAGAGAGGTCGAACGGAAATGACTCGGGGACTGACCCCAGTATTATGAGGATGCTCGAAGAGCTCACCAAGAGGATCGAGTCCGGGGAAAAGAAGATTGAGGACAATGATAAGAAGGTGGAGACTTATAACTCCCATGTTGACCAGATACCGGAGGCACCTCCAGTTTTGAAAGGTTTAGATGCAAACGAGTTCATACAAAACCATTCTCTCAGAGCGCGGCTCCGATGCCCATCCCTAAAAAGTTTCGCATACCTGATATACCCAAATATAACGGGACAACCGACGCCAACGAGCATATTACTTCATACACTTGTGGGATTAAAGGAAACGACCTTAATGATGATGAGATCGAGTCCGTGTTGTTGAAAAAATTCGGAGAAACTTTGTCGAAAGGAGCCATGATTTGGTCACAACTTGCCTCCTAACTCTATTGACTCGTTTGCTATATTGGCAGACGCCTTCGTGAAAGCACATACCGGGGCCATAAAGGTGGCAATGAGGAAGTCAGATGTATTCAAGATAAAATAAAGGAACGGCGAAATATTGACAGAGTTCGTGTCCAGATTTCAGATGGAGCGAATGCAATTACCACCGGTCTCGGATGATTGGACAGTACAAGCTTTCATGCAGGGTTTGAATGAAAAAAGTTCGATTGCATCTTGACAGTTAAAGCAGAATTTGATTGAGTATCCGGCCGTGACGTGGTCCGATGTGCATAACCGTTATCAATAAAAAATCAGGGTCGAGGACGACCAGTTGGGAGCCCCCTCGGGTTCAGTTCATCCTAACATATTCGCAGCCAAGCCCCCGAGGGAAACAGATAGGAACCAAGATCGAACAAGGAACAGTATTAACCGTACGTCGATCGAAGAAACAACGGCTCGGGTCGAAACACCCTCAGAAATGATCGGAGAAACGATCGAGGTCAAAGTTCTCGAGGGCTCATGAGAAAGAGCGGATTCGATAAGCATACCGACCCTGTAGAGGCACCTCGACTGTCGGAGTACAACTTCAGTGTAGATGCATCGGAGATTGTGTCAGCTATTGGAAGAATCAAAGACACCAAGTGGACCAAGCCTATACATACCGATCCTTCTCAAAGGAACACGAACTTGATGTGCAAGTATCATGGCACACATGATCATAGAACAAAAGATTCCAGGTAGCTAAGGGAAGAAGTGGCTTGGTCGTTCAACGAGGGCCATCTTCGAGAATTTCTAAGTGATCGAGCCAAGAATCATTTCAGGGAGAGAGATGCAAGGAAAAATGGACAAGAAGAACCACAACATGTAATCCACATGATCGTCGGCGGTGTCGATGTCCCACAATGACCTGTGTTCAAACGCACCAAGGTATCGATCACAAGAGAAAAACGGACTTGGAGCTATGTGCCCAAGGATGCCTTATCATTCTACGACGAGGAAGCAGAGGGCATATCTCAGCCACACAACGACGCCCTGGTAATTTCTATCCTTTTAAATAAAATTCAAGCTAAACGTGTTCTAGTGGATCCAGGTAGCTCAGCAAATATAATCAGATCGAGGGTAGTAGAGCAGCTCGGCCTACAGGATCAGATTGTACCTGCGTCCCGGGTCCTAAATGGCTTCAACATGGCAAGCGAAACAACAAAGGGAAAATTATCTTGCCAGTAAACGTAGCAGGGACCATACAAGATACTAAATTCCATGTCATCGAAGGTGAAATGAGGTATAACGCGCTCCTCGGGAGACCATGGATACACAACATGAGGGCAGTACCTTCAATTCTTCATCAGATGATGAAGTTCCCAATGGAGGATGGAGTAAAAACGATTTACGGAGAGCAACATGCTGCAAAGGAGATGTTTGCAGTTGAGGAGGTGGTGCCGATACCAGAGCCTTCGACCTCGGAGAAATCGGGCACCAAAGGTAAGCAGGCGGCTAAATAGCAACACCGTCCCCAACCTCGACGGAATCGGAGCAACAGGTAATCGAGGACGAAGAAGAGGATTTCCTTACTCCTTGAACCTTCGTCGTTCCCGAAGAATCCGACGGAACCAAGTCAACTGTCGAGGAACTGGAGCAAGTCATACTGATCGAATACATGCCCGATAGAAAGGTATACCTAGGAACGAGATTAGCCCTCGAACTCAAGAAAAAACTCATTCAATTTCTTATTGATAATATGGATTGCTTTGCTTGGTCCCATTTAGATATGACAGGGATTCCACCGGAAATCACCACACATCGGCTAAGCATCGACCCCTGGTTCAAACCGGTGAAGCAAAAAAGGAGGCCCCAGTCCGAGGTAAAACATGCGTTCATAAAGGACGAGGTAACCAAACTTCTTAAAATAGGGTCTATTCGGGAGGTAAAATACCCCGAATGGTTAGAAAATGTAGTTGTAGTTCCTCAAAAAAAGGAAACAAACTTAGAACGTGTGTAGACTATAAGGACTTGAACAAAGCATGTCCAAAGGATTCTTTCCCATTGCCGAAGATCGATCGAATGATCGATGCCACGGCCGGCCACGAGACCCTAACTTTTCTCGATGCCTACTCCGGGTACAATCA